AGCCAGCCATGCTGGCTGGGGAATTCTGGGAGTTGAAGTCCACACATCTTCAAGTTGCCAAGGTTGAGAAAAAACGGACTATAGGATTCATATAAGAGATTGTCTTCTCAGACTTGCATGGATTCTGTGGGCTATAGGGTCTTTCTTTTCGCCTATTCCCTGGTTATTGTTTTTTGAGCCTTGGATCTTCTGCATGAAAATTATGTTCTGTGCTATAGGATTGTGGGCAGAGCTACAACCACTGTAGAGTAACAACTAGTGAAGAAATAGTGGTAACCTTTGATTGTGCTACAGGGCTCAGGGCTAATCCCAGAATGGAACTGGAACAGTTTGCCAGTCTAGTAACTAATTCTTCCCTTGTTTCTTTATTTTAGTGAACAGGAGCTGAAACAATCCCTCAGAATCTTGATGGAGCTGGAGATGCAGATCACAGGCTGTGGGGCCAACCCCTTCACCTCCCTCAAACCGGAGCAGGCCCATTCAAACCCTAACAAGCCACCCGTCTACTCCAACTCCCACTACCTGATGTTCCACGGGCTAGCTGGTCCTCCAGAGGAACATGACATAGGAGAACTGGATGGGGAAGAGGAAGAGAGAAGTTAAATCCCAGCAAGCTTAGAACTATAGAACCTAACTAGCAATGGTGTCTTCATATCTTTCAATTTGTCATGCAACAAATTAAGATCTCAGGAATACAGGCATCTGGGTATGGGGCATGCTGATATTGAAGGCTGCCTTTGTTCGTGCAACAAAAGGTCCAAGCTGATTATTAGTCTAGTCTAGTCCTATCAGGTTTGTAGTCAAAGCATGTTGACTCCCATGGTCCTGTGTATCCTCCTCCCAATTTAGCATATGTAAATCAGCTGTCCCCTAACTTGGGGTCTTCCAGATGTGTTGGAGCTAGAAGTTCCAAAATTCCCAGCCAAAGGCAATGCTAGCTTGGAATTCTGGGAGCTAGTATTTCTAACGTATTTGGAGGACTCCAGGTTGGAAACGAGGGCCAGTTTGATTAGTGGTTAAAGGCATGGATTGGAAGCCAGGAGACTGAATTCTAGACCTCTCTTAGGCGTGAAAGCCAACTGAGTGATTTTGGCCCAGGCATTCTCTCTCAGTCCTAGGAAGGATCCAATGGCAAACCTGGGCCATGTAAAAATTTAACAAAATAAAATAAACCACTTCTGAAAATGTTGTCCAGAAAACCACATAGACTTGTCCACGGAGTCCCCAGGAGTCAAGTCTGATTCAAGGGCACGAAATAAAAATTAAAGAAAGGGCGATTCCAGGAGAGCACCTGAAAATGGTTGAAGTAGTATTGCCCACGTGTTGATCCACGTGAAAATGTTTTCAGAACTTAGACAAGAGAGTCTCCATTAAAGGGTTTTTCTCATATGGAGTTGTAAACACTTGCAGGGACATAGCCTGTGTGTGCATGTAGATACAAGGGTGGCTCCATCTTCTTTACAGCCAATCAATGTTAGTTAGGCATGTTCATTGGTGGCCGAGATGCCAACAAGAGAGTTCAAAATGGTGGCTGGGCTATTTCTCCTGTTCTTTCTCTCCAGCTCTTTTTCCAGCAAAGTTGGAAAACTTGGATAACTGACTTGATTTTTGATTTTCCCGTAATAAAGCTTCCTGGGTGAAGTGAATTTAACCCGGTGTGAAATTGGATTTTACAGAAGTTAAATCTACCTGCCTCTGAGTTAATAGATTGGGTCAACGAAATCCATTTTGGAGTCCCCGCAACAGATCATCGACCACCTTGACCCAGTAAGCTATGTTGTGAGAACAGGACTCAAGCACATGAAAACAACTGTACGATACAGTCAATAGAAAGGATAAGATTGGAGAATTATTGGAAGCCTTTTTAAAAATTCCTTGCACGTAGTAGCTGAGCCAGTTCTTGTTCGTGGCTGACTTTATCTCAAGGACATTACCTGAGCATCACTAAATCCCTGGATTTAATTAGAATTAAATGATACTTTAATAAGATGAGCATTTAAAATTCCTTTCAGTCAGTGGAACGATTTTAGTCTGACATAGAATAATTTTTTAAAAAAAATGCACAAGGTATTAGGAAAATAAAACTTCTTCCTAGCCTTTGAACTTGGGATTTATGTTTTTCTATACCGGACCTAAATTGCATGAGTCCAATACATGGAAAGGAGGAAAATCAGGAGAGCCGTGGTAAATTCTGAGTATCCAGAGGAGAATAACCTTTTGATGGCTGGATGCTGGCTTTCAAATTATTTTTTAAAGCCCAAAATAGTGTCGTCATGGCATTACAAGAGGGGTCAAGCTGAATTTACTAATCTTCTCCCCCTTCTCAGAAGCTTAATGTCTCTATTTCCTCTACTTTTTAACCAAAACCCAGCAGGAACTTGTTCTTCTTTTGTGCATTCAAAATGGGGTGTGTGTGTGTGTGTAACAAATAATGGGCAGAGTTTCAAACTTAGCATCTAACTGGATCCCCCCACTTTTCATTTTCCAGGAATGCCTACAGGGCCCAGTGGAAGCAAGAAGCAATTTTGTAAATAAAGATGACACTAAAGGACAATGCTATGCTGGACCCACTTCCTATTTAACTAATTAAATTCCTATTTAATTAAATCCTAATTAAAATAATCATTAAAAGAATGCCTGGAGAGCATATTTGTGCATGCACTGGAGCTCATGGTCGCTATATTTCTTAACCCCAAATTAAAAGAGCTACGCTGCTAGAGAAGATATGTTCTTCTCCTCAAGAGCAGCATAGACAAGCAAATAGTTCTGCAAATTCCAGGTCTTACTTACAAACCTCTAAGGCAGTGTTTCTCAACTTTGGCAGCTTGAAGATGCATGGACAAGGCTGGCTGGGGGATTCTGGGAGGTGAAGTCCACACATCTTCAAGCTGCCAAGGTTGAGAAACACTGCTTTAAGGATTCACAGATGTTGCTCATCTGTCCTTGGCATGCAAAAACATGCCCAGAGGGTCTTTGTCCCCTGCCTGTTCTCTCACTGATCAGTTCTATATAATCCTGCATTTCAATGACCACCATGAGCCTTGGGTCCACAAGTTTCCAGAATTTTAGCTTTGGACTGAATTGCTTTCAAGATTCAAAATCAAGATGTACAATAGCCACTGGGATGTAGTTATGGGTTAGCAGCTAGATTAGGGAAGCCCAGATCAAAAGCTCCACTTGGCCATGCCATTCCCAGGGGCTGACAGTGACCTCCTCTCACATCATACAATGTGCTAAGTAATAATCAGCTGTTTACAAACCATTTGCTAGATTTGTACCTTGGGCTAAGCGAAAGAAAACCACATTATGGCTCTGCAGGATGATCTCACCACTTTTTGTGAGTTCTGAAGATTAATGGGGAGAAGCTAGTGACACTGTTGTAAATGAAGGGAGGAGAGAAATCAAGCCATGCTTGCTAATGCCATGTGTCCACCCCAAGTGTGCCAAACCAATTCAACAATCATAGGAAAGCTTTCCATAAGAAGCGGCCTTTATCGCTCCAATTAAAAAACAAAAGCAAAACCATACAGTACTGCTGTATCACAATCACAAATCACAAAATATTTACAGGATTCTTTTCCTACTTCTCTTCTCTCCTTCCAAGGAGAAATACAAGTTCATTCTTAGCCAAGTCTTAGAGTAGAGGCTACCAAGTGGTCATAAGAACAGTCTCTTGATTCTTCTGTGCCGGTATTTGGATTCTTCAAAGACTTGGAAGTATACAGTTTTAAGAGGATTGGACATTTCCACCCCCAAAACTGTACATAAGACAATTGAGATGGGGTTATTGGTGTAGCATCCCCATAAGGCCAATGAAACAGGTCTATACAACCCATAATGCCTCCAACATATATTATAGCAGACACAGACCTCAACTTTGCCTTCCTCCTGGTTGGACAATGGCCAGTGGAATCCAGAAACATACACAAGAACAACTTCAGCCACCAAGTTCTTGTTTCTCTATTGTGGAATACTCAGTTGTGCAAACTTTCATCTGAATGTCTTCTTGTGCTGCTTGCCTCTAGAATCCACCCATATTTTTGTGGGCTGAAGATACAACTTGTCCACTGGCGTACAGGGGAGGGGAGAGAGGAAGAGAACACCAATCCACCAACATAAGCATGGAATCAACGCTTGAGCAGAGGAAGGGGAGACAGGGCTGTTCCTGCACAACAGTGCAAATACAAATTGTGTTTGTACAAAGACTAGAAAGGCTTATGTCCATGGAATTGGCAACACCACTCAGCAGAGGCCCCTTTCCCAGTAGAAGCAGTTAATGATGGTGGAAAAGTTGGCCAGAAGGCAGTACACCTTGGTCCCAGGAATGGATCTCGAGAAGGTATCTTTGCTGTCGCGGCTATGGAAAGATCCCCAGCCGTAGAGAGAAGAGGCCATTGGTTGCCATGGGAATAAAGCTGATGGTTCAAAGTGCCAAAGACTCAAGAGGATGCATTTATAGGCCTGTATGGTGTTTGATGGGGTATCCAATAGACCCGAGAGAATCCCACAAATTTAAGACACCTTAGTTGAAGATCTGGCTGTTAGGATTCTCATCCATCTGAGAGCTGCTAGTTAGCAAGGAATGACTTGAGTTCAGGCTGCAGAATGACCGGGAGGAATCCTGTTTGTACTGCATTCTGCATCGTTCTGGGACTAGATGCAAGTTGCATGTCCAGTTGCATTCTTAGGCCATCTATGGCCATTCTCCAGACTTCCAGACTGGTTTTTCTGAATTCTCCCTGGAGATGCTAGGCTAGGAATGAAAAGAGGCACTTCCCAGGTCTTCCAAAATACCTGCCAAGTCCCAACTTCCAAAGCAAGTAACTGGATGGGCCCTGCAGAAGTTTGGGGTTTCAACTCCCATCAGCTTCAGCCAAAGGTAATGAATTGTATCTTGTAGTCCACAATATCTGGAGAACATTAGTTGCCTATTCCTGCTCTGAAATAATACAGCAATATTGCCAATACTACTTTGCAAACTCTGCTCCCCTAAGGACCAGAAACGTGTCTTTAAGCAACCAGATTGGTCAACGGGTTTCAGATGTTCAGTGCAATTCTTTTACCTGTGGCAGTTATCAGCAGATGGCAATATACAGCTGACCAGCATGCAAAGCAAGCTTAATGTATGCTTTTACCTGCTTTAAACAGCAGGAAAGCATTTAGCCAAGTAGCTTGCCAGTATACAATTAGCAAAGAAAGGCAAAAATGCCTTTCAACTTTGCTTTAAAACGGAGACATACCAAATGTAAATTGTTGGGGCCCACAATTTAGGTAAGACTGAAGAAGTGGTGACTGGGGTCACCCATCTTCCTTTGATGCCCCCCTTTTCTCTGACAATTTCCTGTTTTTCTTGCAAACCGTAGACTTCGAGAATGAGGCAGGGCACTCTTCCTAGAGGTCTCAACCAACCTCTCTTGAGCCCAGGGTGTGAAATTCAGTTGAAGAACTCCCCTGCTTAAGAGAACAATTTGACTTTGGTTGGTGCAAGAAGACTCAACTCTGAAATACATAAGACTGTTTAACAGAGCTTTCAGCGTCTGGATTATTTGTGCTCTATTTGTGGATATAACCCATGTGTGTACACGCACACGCACAATTTAACAACTGCCTTTCCTTTCCTCAAAGGATGCTAGAAATTGTGGTTTAATTAGGTCCTCGGGATTCCTTTTCAGCCTGCCCTCATCACAGAGCTGCTATTTCCAGGATGGTTTTTTGACATGGAATTTATATTGAACAGCTTTTCATCTGCAACCAGGCCATGCCCAACGCCTGTCCCCACAGAGGCAGGAGACTCCAAACTCAAGATGGTTGAGCCCATGTAGGCTAGAAGGTCAAGCTATGGATCAGGCATGCCCCCCTGAAACCCTTTTGACCCAAGGCAGCAAAGACAGGACCAGGAATTGGATAGTGGAGGAACTGGGAACAGATCAGAAGGCTTAAAGATGCTCCCAAGATCTGGGGATCTCCCAAGATCTCCCAAGGTGGCATATCAGCTGGAGTTCCCTCTGCTGCCTAATAAATGAGCACTGCTGGGTTCAAGGCAAAGCCTGGATGGTAAGGAAATATTTAGAAAAACAAGGGCATCAGAGACCCCACATCCCCTTCTGTGGAAATGAATTAGGGAGCTCCTTTGTGCAGGTGGGGACAGGGGCTCTGAGCACGAGGCAGCTGTTACTCCAGGTTGGAACGTTCCCGCAGCACTGGCAGCGAGAGCATTTCTGGAGCTGATTTTTTCCGTTGGCGGTCCTTGGGAACGCTGAGGAACTCAGGGGCTTCACCACTCAGGGGTGTGGAGGGGGCACTGGAAGGGGCACTCTGAGTGCTGGGGGGCAGGCACACTTCACTGATGGAGATGGTAGGCGTCATGATGCCCACAATTTCATTGGTGGCCTCCTGAGTCTCCTTCTCATATAAGCGGACCTCATCCATCGTCATGCCTGTGGAGAGGAAGCACAGAAGAGGACATGGTGAGGAGAGATGCACCACCGTAGGCCTGGAGAAGATGACCCTGCCAGAGATGGCCCCAGAGCTTGGTGGCCTGAGACAAAGAACATAAATGGCACCCACTCTACCCTCTTCCAACACATCTGAGTGGATCAAAGTCACAGTTGAAGCATGAGAGCTGGTTCTCCCAGGGCCAAAGAAAAGAGACCAAATTCAGACTGGTCTATCACCAAACCAAGAGTCAAGGAAACCATTCAACCCCTCAAAAAAGAATGGGATCAACTCTATTACATCATGGAAGTGGGAGAAGGAGGTACAAGAATATAAATCTGGATTTCACTATAAATAGGGTATGCATTTGAATAGCACCTCATTAAAAAAAAAATTCCAATCTGTCCTAAGATGTTATTAATGATGCAAAGAAGCCATGACATCTAACCATTTGACTGAGACAAAATTGAGTATTTTTTGAGGTCTGTATTCTTTTGAACTACAGTACATACCTATTACGTGGAAACTGATGGCTGGAGGACAAAAATAAGTTTTCTGCACTCTTCATATTGCTAAGAGCCTTTGGCATTGGAGAAATAAATGAATGGCCCCAGTTGCTCTGCAGATTGAAGATTTGATGTTACATGTGACTTAGAAACAAGTTGCTCACAAAAGTGGATGATGTATGTACAATTACGGCGAAAGACAGTAATCTTCTGTTGAAACTCATCTTCTTTTCCCCGGAGGGGTTTATGCCAAAAATGCTTATTTTATGTTGCCGCATTTTCAATGATATTTTTGCATTTTACGCTGTAAGCAATCTACAGAATAACCTTGCTAGGCTGCTTAATATAATACATGAAATCTCATGTATAACAGGATATATTAAATGTATTATTCAGCACATAAGGTATAATCATGTAATGCTCTGAATGATTGGTGATGCTATTCCGCCTATCCTCTGCTACCACGCTCCTTTGTCATTTTTAACAATGAAAATGTGGGAGATAACTCTTATGAACCGTAATAAATAATAATGCATCTACAAAGAGGAAAAAGTGTATAAAGATGTACAAGTGAAAACTTCCAAGAAAGATTGTGTTGAAATTGTGCCGTTAGGGATGTGCCTAATAGTTCTTGAATGACCCATTTCATTCAGGTTTGTTGACTTTGTGTCTGAATCAAAATATGCATATTTGGATCAAGGAACAAAACGTTGGGTTATTATGGATATGGATTAAAAGGAGGTTGTTCCAGACATAAGTGGTTCTTTTGGGGGGGAGAACTGGAAGCAAACCAAGGACATTGGCAGTGGCCAAAGGAAGTGGGGAGGAAGAGGATGACATACACTAACCATGCCTTACTCACCCCGTAGTATCACTCTTTGATTCCTGGAAGTTGTGTTTTAGTTGAAACCCAGAGTAAAAACGTTCCAGGTTTTGTTTTGGGCACACCACAGCCTATCCATGTCTTTGTTTGGGGTATCAAAAGAACACATTTACCAGTCCTGCATGCCCTGACTTGCCCCAAACAACAGTGTCTCCCTTTGGACAAAAGAATTTGAGAAGATTAGCAAGTTGCCCCAATGTATCTGCTTGGTCTTTTCCCAGTTTGATGAAGCGTGTTTTGTGAACACAGCCAATATGAGAGCTGAGTTAACCAACTATTTTTCTTCTCCCTGATCAAGCCCTGTTTTATTCAGGGAATATCAACTTCTGAATTGGGCCTGAGAGTTACTCCATATCTATCAGCCACAGGCTTAAAAACTTAATCAAAACATTCTCACATATGACAAAACGTCACTAACCACCGTGAGTTGCCAACTAGAATCAGACCTTGTCCTTCACCAAGGAAAAATCTGCTGAGAAAGGAGAACCATCTGGAGTTTCATTGACTTGTTAGACCTCTGAGAAGACACTGTTTCACTCTTCTGGAAAGTTGGAACACCTGCTGCTTGGCAACCCTCCCACCTGCCTTACTGCTTCTTACTAAGGGAGGGGGTGGGGGGAATCACGACTCCAAAGAGGAGGAGAAGGATTCACAGAAAGGAGATGTTTGGAGGTGCATCTATGCACATGCCTTGAGAGAAACCCTCTGCTGTTTTAAAGCTATGTGTCTTCTACTCTCTGGATGTACAATCTAGCAGGGAATGTTTGTATGTGTGAGAAAGAAAGTTGGGTAGGCATTTATGGTCTGCAAGGGACTCATCCCTGCTCTGTACTAGGGAAGCCCCACTTTGAGGTAGAAGGAAACAAAGCAAAATCCTCCTTCAAGACCTGACAGCATGTGAAGGTCAACTGGACCTTTCCCCACACATGTTCCTAAAGGAAACCTGGACACTCAGGAACATGTTTGATCTGTGAAGCTCCTCTTCTGAGTGGAACAGGGGAAAAAGCTGACCCTTTCAGTATCCACACTCAGATTCTGAACACCAACCCCTAAGTCCAAAACAAGATGTTTTGTTTTCCCTTAAGTGCAACATGACTTCTTCTGCATTTTCATCTAGGTGCTGGGACGTAGACTTTCCAGGTTGACAGACATTCGCCACCATAACACCATTTCTCAAACTTTGTCCTGGGTACATGAGTTTAAAGTAGCCTCAGTCTGGGTGCTCTGGGTAGGCTTCAACTCCCAGAATTCCCTATCCACCTGGATGTCATTGACAATCCTGGGATTTGATCTCCAAATGTAGGAGGATGTCCAAATTGGAGAAGACTGGCTTAGGCACAAATCCGTACTGAGTTGGACTGTAGGGCTGTATATCCATGACATGTTTTGCGTGAGGAAGGTTATCAGTTCAAATCTTAGTAAATCTTAATAGGTTTAGACACTAGTCTGGAATTCTGAGTAATGGTTGGCCAGCTCTTGATAGCCCTAGAGACTACAACCTTGAGAAAAGACAGAGTTCAGATTCCAAGGAGAAGAACCACCACCCCACCTGCAAGTCCAAGTTGGTACCACCTTCAATTTTTGATCCTTTAATGTATGAAGTTTTCCTACATCAGCGTTTCTCAACCTCTGCAACTCCTGGAATTCCCCATGCTGGCTGGGGAATTCCAGGAATTGAAGTCCACACACTTTAAAGTTGCAAAGATTGAGAAACACCACCCTACATGATCTAATGTAGAATTAAAGCATCTGCTGAAAGAACTGCACAGAACAGCATTTCTCAGGTGTTTCTCAGTGAAGGCTTTGTGTGATTCCTTGGGGGAATGGACAAAGATGGATTTAAATTCACCATGTGCAAAGATCTGTCAGATTCCTACTGTCTTCTGCTGCTATTCTGAGCTGATCCCATGCCCCTGACTTGGGAACATCTTCCCAAAACGAGTTTCTGTGTCCATAGGAAAGAGCAGCCTTGGTCGAGAAACATCACAAGGAGAAAGAATCCCATTTTTCAGATTCAAGGAGTGGAAAGAAGAAAATAAAAACCCACCCCAAAACAAAACTGAACATACATACAAAGTGGGAGTCCTGAGCAAGACTTGTCAGCTCGGGGTGTTAGGGCTCCTGACTGCTGAAGTTTTGATTTGTGGCCACGTGCATCTGACTCTCGAAGGCACGAACCTCCTCCAGAGACATGTCTGTAACATGCAGAGACACTCTCAATGCTCCGTTAAGCAGAAGAGGGACACGGAGGACGGAGAGGGGGAGAAGAGATGGGGCAGAGGTCTGCCAAGAGCTGAGTCCTCAAAGGGGCAAACAGCTGTTGTGTAGAATCACAGGAATTGTGGCCCCCATTCTAACCTGCCCCACTCCTAAGTGCAAAGGGACTCAAACATGGATATATGCAATGCTGTCTATATAAACAGGAGGTGTCGGGTGAGGGTGGAGAAAGACATGGAATTGTCACTGCTGTGTGACGGTGGCTGTCCCCAGCTCCAGCTTGGCCACACCAGCTGAGGAGGACACCACATCGTGCCCGCCATCAGCAGCATTCTTGCAGCGCTGATGAAAAAGAGAAGCTGTTTCATCAGGACACTTATAGGTACTCCAAGAAACATCACTTCACAATAAAATGTGGATTTATTTGGTGTTGTTTTAAAATCATACCAAATCTGCTTTTTTTCCTAATTATGGTATTCCTGTGTTGACTGTCCCCCAAGGATATAAGCTAAAGACTTCTCTGGGGCCAAAGACAGCCAAACAGTGATCTTTTAAGTGGACGTACGTATATAAATGTATTTACGTAAAAATACATTTTTGATGCTAGGCAGCCGATAAATAGTTCCAACTGAGTCTCTCTTCTCCACCCCATATCCCATTCAATATTTGACTTTAGATACTTGAAGCTCTAGGGGAAATTTTTTTCCCAGATATCCTTTGTCACAGGCCAAATTAATATGGCGTATTTTAATTGAAAAGGGGATCATCTAAGCATTACTCAAATAATGTATTAACTCAAGGGCTTTAGGAAAGTGGAAAATGCACGAAAGCCAGAATGGGCACTTTTACTGAAGGACTGGCTTCAGGTCTGCTGGTTCTCTGTTCAAGGGCTGTTGTAAGTGTGAATCACTGGTCCTCCATCAACGTCTCCCTCGCTTTATCTCTACAGTGGACTTGTTTTCCTGGAAAAGGGCTTGTCTTCAATAGGCAATGTTAAGCTAGCTTGCTATTAAAATAGCTGCCCCTGGGTTCCTATCACTGGGCAGAGGATGCTGCCATCAACACAGCAGAGGGAGAGAAAGGATGAGGAATTGTGGATTCCTCTCAACATGGAGGCAAAAAGTCAGGGAAAACAGAAAGCAGAGATCCAAGGGTTAGTTGTTACTCAGGATGGGCAAAGGTTTTGTATTTGAACCACTCCCAATGCTCAGGGCTCCCTTCAGAGGCATCAAACAGAGAGTTCTGAGCACTGAAACTCTTTACACTCAAAAGGGGACATTTCAAATCTGAAATGGGCTGTTTTGGATTCCAGATGGTTAGGACTCCAAATCTCTAATTGCTCATATTAGCATTTAGGACAGAGGAAAAGAAGGAAAAGCTAAGCAGCCTTAAACCAAGCTTGATCAGTGTCAGGGATCTGCCCTGTTGGCTCATATTACTCACACCATGGAGGGGGGTCTGATAGAAAAACACGACTTCTGAAGACACAAAGCAGACTCTTTTGAGAGCTGCAGCAGGTCCAGCTCTGAAGTGGCTCTCAGCTTTGCAATCCAAGGCCCTGAAAAACTTGCCTTTAATCAAATAAATAGCCACAACGGCAGCACATGTCTAGCTTTCTTGGTTACAAACCTGAAACCTGCATATTTGCAATGACTGGGGACTTCTTAAAAGTTAAGGTGCTAGTGTGGGCGAGCAGGAGAGTAAAACAGAGCTTCTAGGGATCAGGGAAGAAGAGTTTGTTCCTTGCTCTTCTCACTCCATGTTCTTCATAAATTACACTGAGAAAGCCCACCGGACCTTGATCCAAACTTAGAAAGTTTGAAAGTTAGTAGGTCTGCTCTAAGGATAGATATGTCTGAATCCTGCCAAATCAACACCATTGGTGAAGTCAAGAGGGCTTTATTTTTTTTAAGCCCAGGATATAGAAAGAGGAGTCCAAAATTGACCCCATGATGTAGCCTCCCACCTTCTCCTTTTGTGTCCCAACCAACTAGAAGGTGCTAATTGGGGAGGTGCTACCCAGCCAGAAGTATTGCTAGCTTTCCAGATGTGCAGTGTTCTCTACTTTGCAGTGATTTCATCTCTGCCCAAACCATTTTTCTATCTTGGGCTCTCTCATGTCACCTAAAGCAGGAGGTTGAGTTCACCCTTTCTTGGACCTTCTTTCTCTCTTTTGCCCTGTGGACAATGCTTGGGTTGACAGGCAAAACCTTCCTATTGACCTCTTGAGAAACAGCAGGTAAACAGGAAAGAGAGTCAGGCAGACCCATTTGATGGGGTGGCTCACCACCAGCTTGACCCCAAGAACCTGTTTTGGGAATGACCTCAGTGTCTGCCTCTTTCCTTTGGCTCCTCTCTGTTCTTCTGCTGCCATCAGAGGGCAGCAAAGCCAAGCGCACAGCTGTCCATGGGGACTGGCACCTTAAAGCAGTGTTTTCTGGCATTAAGTGACTACTGGCTAAATTCCTGAGCCAACAGCATCTACAGGTAGGTCAGTGTTCCTCAACAAATTTAGCAAAATTAAAATTAAATGTGGACTTAATTAAATGTGGACTTAATTCAGCAAAATTAAAAAGTGTGGACTTCAACTCCCAGAATTCCCATGCAGGCTGGGGAATTCTAGGAGTTGAAGTCCAGACATCTTAACATTGCCAAGGTTGAGAAACACTGACCTAGGGAATTAACAAACCCCAGCTTCCTGGACCTGGATCCCAGATGCACGTGCCATTTCACATATCTCTGATTTCAGAAGTTTTTTCTTACCACAAATTGTTCTCCAAAGAAGTTGCTAGAGCTATTAAGATTTCTACCCTCCCACAGAACATAAATCCAGAACTTGAGGAGTGTGAATGCATGGGGGTCAGCTTTATTCCAACCTGATACAAACAGGCTACCCTCAGCTGCAAAGTATCACCTGCCCATTATGTATAAGTTGTCTGAAGCAACAAGGGGATGTTTGCTTCACTCATCACCCAAATGCCAACTTTAATTGGACCTGGGGTGGGTTAACTGAGGAATATCTAAGAGATTGGCCCCATGTGTATAGCTAAAATAGCTGCACATTTAGCAGGGTGTGGTTGAACCAGATGGTCAAGTTTTGAATTCACAACCTCTTTGGGCAGTTATCAGAGTTCCAGTACTGACCATGGCTTGGCATCCTTTACCACAGATAAACAGACTGCCAGCTTCCACTTAAAATTTCATATTAAACCCAGAAGGAATGTCAATGTCAAGATGTCCCAGAGAATACTGGGAAATTTAAAAAGATGGTGGCCCGGGTGCTGTTGGACCTTCCAAAGTGGAGTGGGACAATGAGTACAAGAACAGCTCATAGAAGGTGGAGTGGTGAGGAACCCCAAGAGTCAGGAAGTTGTGGGAATAGCTGTGATATGAAGCAGCAAACAAGGACATCCTAGCGTGATGTAAGTAAAACACAGTCAAATATCGGATTCAGGAATAGTATAAGAACTAAAGAAAAGGACGTGGCTGGAGAGAGAAGGTTAGCATGTTAGGAAAGGAAAAGAGGAAACTTTACTCCAAAACTGTGGTAAGGAGGCATAATACTTTTCTGCCTTCTGTTTGTCCTTGGGAATCCAACATTCTTAAAAGAACCTCTACTTCCAAAGAAACCAGGGAAGGGTGTTTGTCAGCTCTGAGTAACAGGCTGAAGCACAGCTATGATCTCAAGAAGTTCAGAGGGATGAGAAATGTTTTGAATGAATCACAAATTTATGTCTTGAACCCAAAACCACAAGCAGCATTCACATGGAAACGTTCTGCAAGACTCAGTTGCTCCAAATTGTTCCAGCAAACTAATCCCACGCATATTTTTTTTGACGGGTGGTATTAGAACCTTAACTATGATCTTTTGTTGAATTCCATTGGTTTTTTTCTAAAATGGAAAAGTACTGATGTTCTGCTTGGTTTTTAAGCATGATTGCAAGCCCCCTTAAGAGATCTTTAAAATCCAAAAGAGAGCATTAAGTATTTCAGGAGCAAATGAGATGGGCCTGAGAGTCCTCTGAATGTTTGATTATACTGCCTTAGTATTGTTATTAGGGGGCAGGAAAGACCCACTACCTCAACTTGTCATACTCAGAAGTGTTGATCACTGATCAATTACTTTCAGCCATCTCATTGCACGTGCAGAAATGGGGGATTTAAAATATAATCAGGAGCCCATGGCTTCTCCCATGGCTTCAGTAAGTGGAAAATGATAAAACAATGAACCCACGTTCCAGATTATGCACTGAGAAACAGAGGGTGGTCGATGGGCTGCATTGAGGAATGCAACACTATATAAACTCAACATGGTTGAACTTGGGGATCAGGCAAAACAGTTGATAAGGGGGAAATTGAGGAAAGGCACATTCCCATGGAAAAGGAGGACCAAAGCAGATGCAGAGTGGGTTTCCATCCCTCCCCCCTCCCCCCTCCCTCCCTCAACCGGCAGGGTCCCCAAGGTCTCACATACCACACCACTCGTCCACCCAGGCGAAGGCTTGGCGATGGCCGATGAGTAAAATATCTCGAATGACCTGAAACCCAAAATCCTGTTAATGGCATTGCGGGGATTGTCCAAGCAAATTTCACAGAACAATTCCACCATCATGTCTCCAGGGGCTACGCTGGCATGAGCAACTGGGATTTCAGCCAGAAATGTAGATGGCCATACTCTGCAAACAGGCCTGATTCACAGAGGTCCAACAGACCAGCATGGGAAAAATAGGTTGTACACGTTAGATGGATGTCCGGATGTCTGTGTGAAGGAATTCAGAGCTAAACTTGGGGAAGGTAGGAGAGAGCCATTAAAAAAGGACTGGCCAAAAACATTGTCCTGAGAAAGGGTGAGGAAGAAACTCAAAATAACCCTTCCTTGATTTTGTTTAGGAAAAAATGGGGCAGAAAGAAACTGGGACAGGCTTTCAGGACTGCATTATACTGCCTTGCCACAATACAGAGAATTCCTGGAATCCCTGCCATGACTGTTTTTTGACCTGGCCTATCTCCAAGGGCTGACAGCATACAGGTAGTCCTCAACTTATGATCATTCATTTAACAACCATTTGAAGTTACAATGGCGCTGAAAAAAGTGACTTACAACTGGTCCTCACACTTACGACCATCGCAGGATCTCTGTGGTCATGTGATCAACATTCATGTGCTTGGCATCCAGCAACTATTTATGATGGCTACAGCATCCCAAGGTCATGGGATTACCATTTGCCACTTCCCAGGGGGCTTCCAACAAGCAAAGTCAATGGGGGAAGCCAGATTTGCTTAACAACCATGTGGTTCGCTTAACGACCACAGCAAAAAAGGTTGTAAAATCAGGCGTGACTTACTTAACAACTGCATCGCTTAGCGATGGAAGTTCCAGTCCCAATTGTGGTCATGAGTCGAGGACTACCTGTATGTGCTAACTTTTTTCAGTTTTGTTTAAAGGCTGCCTGATGCTATTCATGGCACTATAGCAGTTTCCCTACTTTGCTTTGAGGGCGGAGGCATATGGGTTACTTTTTCCCCCCCCCCAAACATGAAGCCTTCTAAAGCACTATTCTAAACTGTAGCATGAAACTGAACATCTTCTGCCTTGTTCTGCTACGTTAGTGAGATGAGCGATTGTAGCCATCTGGATGTCACAGAACTACAACTCGAAGCATTCCTCACCCCTGTCCAAGTGGGCTAGGTCTCTGAAAGTTGTAATCCAGCAATATTCAGAGGGTTACAGGTTCCCAATTCTTGGCTGCAGAACCAAACATGGCCACTATATGGAAGAAGAGTAGTGAAAGTGTCAAACTCAAATACAGACTGAGCTTAAAGTGGATAGCCAGAGATTCTTCTTGTTCTGTACTCTTTCCCCTGCTTTTTTTTTAAACCCTGAGATCATTCTCCAAGGAGATAGCAACCTATCTTTGGGAAATAAAATTTCCCAAAGGGACTAGTCATCCTAAATGCAAGAAGCCTCTTTCTTTAGAACCTGCTGATTGATGTATGGAATCTGCAAAGCCGTAGACAAAAAAAAAAGAGAGGTTCAGGATCACAGGGCTTTTCCCATAAGGCAGGAGGTGGGTAAGCTGAATTCCCAGGGTTGCATGCATGCAGCTCCAAAGCCCCTTTCCCCCCCAATGTCGAGCCCCTTCTGACCAAAGTTCTTGCCAGTTTGAGATGAGAATTGCAGAACTACGGTAAAGGAAGCCACAGAAATGACTTAAGAAGATTGAAGAGAAATCAAGAACACCTCTCTTCCAAACCTAGGGAGAGGCAAATCTGGCTCCCAAATGGTAAGATTGGCTTTCAATGACTAAGTGCCCAGTATGGAACCAAGGAGGATTTCTGGAGGCCTAAGGAGCTGTCCAAGGTTCTGCAACAGCAGCCCTATCCCACATGACACCTGGCCACCAAGTCACAATGCATCTGTTGTCCTTCCCAATTCATAATCCAGAAAGCCATTGTCCCCTGTCAAGTAAAAAGAAAAACAAGGACACCCAGGTAGCCTCTCTCAGACCAGCCAATAAGGATTCTTGAATTCTGAGATAGTTCCTCCCACGTCCCTGCAGAAGTGACCCTCAAACATGCTGGACTTCATGATATCTTCAGACATCAATGTTTCCCACAGGCCCCTTTGTAGACAAAAGTACAATCTCACCTTATGGACAAATTGCTCTACCCGTGTTTGCAGCCCCCAGACTTCAAATTTGACTGTCACCAGTTTGTAGGAGCACATGATGGGCTGTGTATGTTCCCGCCAGCCCTCCTGTAGTGGCCCACGACCCGTCTTGGCTGAGCAGAAGGATCGGAGATCCTATAGCCAAAAAAGAGAGGAATCACAGAGGGTCTCTACAAGCCACAAATAGGCTGGCGTGCAAATAATCCAACGGATGTTGGATAGATGTCTTATATGATGCCTGGTTTCTCTAGCCAAAGGTTTTCACCCTTTAACAATCTCAGTTTGATGCTGTTGAAATAAAAGAAAAACTTTGAAACCAATCAATAAATTTTAGATATACAGAAGTATTCTTATTATTACTAGCAGCGGTGCTGTAATGCTAAATTCATTCAATTCATGTTAAATTTGGCAGCCTTTCTCAAAGTACAGTTGGTTGACCAGACCTTTCTCTCCCCTTGAATGGCATGTAAGTCTCATCATATTATCATTATAATAACCTTGTGAGGTAGGCTAGGCTGATGGAAAGCCAGGGACTTAGGTTTGCTGTGAGATGGTCTTCTAGTCCCTAATTTAAGGCTGTAAGAAGTGTAATTTAAGGCAGCGTTTCTCCACCTTGGTGACTTTAAGATGTGTGGACTTTAACTCCCAGAATTCCCCAGCCAGCCATGGCTGGTTGGGGAATTCTGGGAGTTGAAGTCCACACATCTTAAAGTCACCAAGGTGGAGAAACACTGGTTAAAGGGCCTTATGCAGCCTATGAGCAGGCCATTTATAGCCTCCAGACTGAGTCAGAACAAAAAGGTGGGCAGTTTTTACATTTGGGGAAGCTTGAGAATTTATTGGGATACTCATTTCACTCCTAAAAACTCTTGCCAAAATAGAGCCTGGTCTTATCCCCTTTTGAAGCGTGGCCCCTGATGTGAGAAACAAAGTTTGCCATGACCTGTAAGCTAACAGAAGAGGCACATCCTTGTTCTAGTCCATCACTCAAACCACTATGCCACAGATAGTGGGATTCTGTCAATTGTAGCCTTACAATAAGGTAGAATTAGCTTATCTGTTTGTGTTTCCTTTCTGGTCTACCTGGGAGGGTAGACATCAACCTTGCAAGTCTGAAAGTACAAATCTCCCACCCTCCCTATTTACTGCCTGAGTAGCTAGGGTGGGTCCTTCCTAAGTTTCTTTCTCTGGCCATTACTCTGTTGCAGGCTCCTTTATCTTTCATCTGATCATTCTCTAGGCAGCATCTCTTCCCCCGTCTTCCAAGGTCACCCTCACAGGTCGAATAAGAGGTGGCTTAGCCCACAAAAGCAATGTGGACATGGCAAACATCTCAGAAGGGACCCTCCCTAGTTTCCTGGACTGTAAAGGCAACGGGGGAGAGATGTACTTTCAGACTTGCAAGATTGTTAATATAACCTTACAATAAAGTAGAGTTAGTTCGTCTAGGTGTGCTTCTTGTCTGGACTACCTTGCAAGGCTGACATCAATCTTGCAAAGTCTTATATTCTTTTCCAAAGAGAGGCAGAAGATCCCACTCAGAATTTTAGGAATGGCCTCTGATCCCCAGGGGACTCCTCTATCCGCCAAACACCTAGAAGCAGCATTGTCACAACATCAGCAGCAGGTAGACGTACAAGTGTGATGGTCTGCGGGAAAGACTTTGGGAGACTAGGCCAAGAGACCCAGCCAAGGGAACGGTCAGATAAGAGGCAGCACAGCCCACAGCTGGATAATGGGTGAGGCAAGAGGCTCAGAAGGAACGTTCCCTAGTTTCTTGGGCTGTAAAGGAGATTGGGGGAGAGATGTATTTTCAGACTTACAAGACTGATGTTAGTCTGTGGGGTAAACCAGATTGGAATCACAACTAGATGAGCTAATTCTACTTTACTGTAAAGCAGTGTTGTCCAAACTTGGCCACTTTAAAATGAGTGGACTTCAACTCCCAGAATTCCCCAGCCAGCATGTTTGGACAACACTACTGTAAAGCTACATTGTCAGAATCTTGCACGTCTGAAAGTACAATTCTCCCCCCTCTCCCTCTCCTTTACAGCCCAAGAAACATACCATCACATCAAGTGACCAATTTGCAGAATGCCATGACACAATTAACACAACAGCTGGGACAGAATTTGCCCCAGCCCGCTGCAGTACAGCATCATGAAGCTCTTCCCCCCGTCTCCCAAGGTCATTCCCACCTATCATTACAGGACTAAGCAGTTGGGTTGGGGAAGTAAAAGTCACCCACCAACCATGCAGAGTTAGCCTGCCCAACCGGTTGTTACCTCTAGGCTCCTGTAGTAACGGTCTGGAACTTCATCAAACGCGATGTCCAGGAACATCACTTCATGGTCTCCCAAGATTTTTTCACTGGGAAAGATCTGTGAGAGCAAGAGGGAAAACATTGGGCTTGTCAACTTGGCAGTGAGAGAAAACCCAGATTCTCAGCTAATGAATGATGGTCAACTCAAGGAGGGTGGGCTAGGCTACAATGCCTATCTTCTCTCCTGTGGCTTGTCACTGACACCCTCAAGCCCCTTGGAATCACAAGGACTCTTCTGATCCTCTACTCCCTTGTCTTGCTAGGTCCCCTGTCAGGCCTAGCCCAAGGAACTCCAAGAGACCATGTAAATTCAGTCCAGCAATGTT